GGAGGATCAATTATATATAAATTTAGTAATATACTAGTTAAATTAGTAAAATAAGAGAAAGAGAAATTCTACCAAGAAAGCTATTTATAACTAAAATAACTCAAGTATATCATATAACTTTCTTGATAAGATGTAATAATTTTTGTAATATAGTATTATATATAATATAGCATATAATATAACAATAATCTGTAAAATAAAATATAATTTATTATATTATCTTTCTCTTAAGAATTAATATTTTTATTGATACTTTGATTCAAAAAATTTTACAAGTTTCAAAATATTATGAAAATTTTCTAAAGATTCTCAGATAAAGTTATAAAGAGAGTAATCTAGTTATTTAACTAAATATTATAGTTTATTATAAATAATTCTTTTATTTAGAATAGCTTTAACTTTATATTTTTCTTTATTAATTTTAGATATAATAATTAGTTATAATATTATTAGATAAATAAATTCTTTATTATTAAAATTATATAGTTTTAATTAATAATAAAATATGAAAGACAGAGTGAATTTTTATATATAAAAATAAATTTAATTTATATATAATAGATGAGATTACTTTAAGAATAGAAAAAGAATCAATATATTTAGGTGTAAGCTTTTTACTAAAACATTATTTATTTATGAAATTAATAATATTGTGAGTTGAAAGAAAGGCTTAATCTCTAATTTTTAAATTCTTAATAGTAATAATATTAATTAGCATATTTAGATTAATAATCTTGTACTTCTATTAATAAATCTTTTATATCTTTTATTATATTATTTTAATATTAAATGAATTTATTAGTGATAGTAACTTTATTATCTGAAATAAGTATTGAAAATATAATTAAATATTAATTACAATCTAACTTAAAAGATATATGATTAGAAAAAGCTTGAATAGAATTATTATATGCAAATTTAGCAGTAGCAAAATATTCATTTCAGTAATCTTAATTATAAGTAAAGTAAATTTTTAACATTTTTTCTAAAGTATAATTTATTCTCTTAGTTTATTTATAAGTTTGTAAATGAAATTCAGTTAATATAGTCAATTTAATATCAATTTGTTCAAATAGTGATTTTTAAAAATAACTAGCAAATTTAACATTATAATTTAAAATTATAATATAAGATAATTCATATAATTTAAAAATATTATTAAAGAAAAGTTTGGTAACTTCAGATATAATAATAATAGTATATATAAAACTAAAATAAGTATATTTAGTAAAATAATTTATAATAATTAGAATTATATTATATATTTGACAAGTTATAGATAATTACATGATAAAATCCAAAATAATTTGTTTTCAGTACTATTCAGATATTTTCAAGAGTTATAAAAGATCTAAGAATAATTAATTATTATTTTTATTTCTTTAATATTCTTTATAACTGAAAATATTTATAAATATTCTTGAATATTTTTGACTAATAATAATATTATTATAATTATTTATAAGTTTTATTAATTTTAAGATAACTAGAGATAGAAATATTATAATATTCTTCTAAGATTCATGTTCTCAGAGATTTATTTTTTGATAGGACAAGTTATTCTATATTTTTTAAATAAATTTTATTATTCTTTAGCTCAAAGTAATATATTTTTAATTATGATATAGCTGATTCAAAATTATGTAAAATTATTCAAATTTTCTTGAAATAATTATTATTTCTTGATATAACTTTTTCTTCTTAATTAGTTATATTGAAATTATAGTAATATTATTTACTTATAATAGATAAGATAAAATATCAGTAATAATATTTTCTTTATCTAATTTATATTTAATAATAAAATTATTGACTTGTAAGATTTCTAGTTAATAAGCTTGATATTTAAAAAAATTATGCTATATTTTAATATATTCAAGAAATATATAATTAGTAATAATAGTAAAGTATTAATCTTCCAAATATGATTTTCAAAAACAAATAATATGTATAATAGTAAGAAGTTTCTTTTTATATATAGGATAATTTTGCTTAGCAGATAATAATTTATGTAACTTATAAGTAATAAGTTAATCTTCTTTTCTATAGTTTTGACTAAGAATAGCTTCTATAGCAAACTCAAATATATTAGTTATTATAATAATAAGTAATTTAGAATTTGATAGAATTAAGACAGATATGATAATTAAATATTATTTTAAATTATCAAATACTTTTTATTTAGATTTATTTCAAATTAAATATTGTTTTAAATTATCAAATGCTTTTTATTTAGACTTATTTCAAATATTTTTATATCTTTATGAAGTAAGACTATAAGTGATAAGATAATTGCAAAAAATCCTTTGATGAATTTTCTATAATAACTAGCAAGATCTAGAAATAATCAAAGTTTAGAGATATTAGTTAGTTGAGGCCAATTATAAATAGTAGTAATTTTATATTAATCTATTAAGATTTCTTGACCTGAGATAAAATGATCTAAGTATTCAATATATTATTTTACAAGTTTATATTTCTTTAATTTGATGTAAAGTTTATATTCATGAAGTTTAGAAAGAATAATACAAATATAATTAAGATATTCTTCTTTAATATTACTAAATATAAAAATATTATCAAGATAGATAATAATGAATTTATTCAAATAGTTATGAAAAATATTATTCATAAGAGTTATGAAAGTAATAGATGCATTGGTAAGACTAAATGGTAATATAAGAAATTTATAGTAATCATATTTTATTCTAAATGCAGTTTTATAAATATTTTCTTTCTTGATTCTAATTTAATAATATCCAGAGTAGAGATTCAATTTAGAAAAGTATTATGTTCTAGCTAAATAATCTATTAATTCATTAATATGAGGTAAAGAATAACAATTTTTAATTATAATTGAAGAATTGGATGCATGAACTATCACTCAAATGCTTTTTCTTATCTTTTTGTGTTCCAATTCCTTCATCATAATACCAACCAAGATTATATTGTCCTTTTACGTCTCTACCTTCTGCTGATTTCAAGTACCAATCAAATGCTTTTTTCTCATCTTTTTGTGTTCCGATTCCTTCATCATAACACCAACCAAGATTAAATTGTCCTATTATGTCTCCACCCTTTGCTGATTTCAAGTACCACTCAAATGCTTTTTTCTCATCTTTTTGTGTTCCGATTCCTTCATCATAACAACAACCAAGATTAAATTGTCCCGTTACGTCGCCACCCTCTGCTGTATTCGAGTACCACTCAAATGCTTTTTTATCATCTTTTTGTTCCTGCTCATTTTGATAATACAAACCAAGATTACATTTCCTCAGCGTCGCCACCCTCTGCTGATTTCAAGTACCACTCAAATGCTTTTAGTTCGTTTTTTTGAATTCCTATGCCATTACGGTAACAATTACCAATATTATTTTGCGTGTTTAAATTTCCACCATTTGCAGATTTTAAATACCACGCAAATGCTTTTTTCTCATCTTTTTGAATTCCGATACCATTTCTATAATAATATCCGAGATTAAATTGTCCGCTAGCGCATCCACTTTTAGCTGTTTCTGAGTATAATTGAAAGGCTTTCTCATCATCAATTAGAATAAGCAAAACCAAGTTTACATTTTCCCCTGGGATCTCCTCCCTTCGCTGACTTTGTATACCAATCAAATGCTTTTGCAGGATCTCTTTGCACTCCTATTCCATCTTCATAGCACACTCTAATGAGATATTGCGCCATTGTATTCTTGATGTTGGCTGATTTTTCGAAAATTTTTGCTGCAAACTCTAAATTTTTACTTATTATGCAACCAGTATAATAAAAAACTCCTAAAATTATCTGATATTGAATTTTGTCAGAATTGTGTAAAAAATTTTAAAAAGTAAAAGTTTCGAAGGAAATGTTCTGTTGATAATATGATTGTAATGATCTGCCAACCGTCGTGAAATCTCTTCTACAATCAAGTAAGTTGTTTAGCAAATTTAGTAAATCATCAGCAATAATTTCAGGTGTTAAGAGATTTTCATGATAAGGTGATAAACTTCCCAAATCTTCAGAATAATCATCACATGATGAATCTGAACTTTCTGATAATGATGTTTCGGAACTGGATGGTTCTTTGGAGGCTGTTGACATAATTTCAAATGTGAAAGTTGGAGATTCTGCTGGCGACCAAGCTATCTCTTTTAATATTTGATTTACTGTTCTATAGCTAGGCGATTTACTGGTGAATTATTCCAGCATTTTTGATAAAGTCAACATATTTAGGAGGGATTCCAGGAATATTTTCATGAGAATATCCATATATATTGGGTGGAGGAGGATGTCTACTAAAATCATCCATAATAGAATGCCAACGCTAAAAATATCAGATTTTGCGTCGCGTCGATAATTTCTATCTTTTAGATAAGCTGGTTCAACACAGCTTATAATGCCAAAGTCAGACGATGAATGAGTCATATCGTCACAAATTTTTGAATACCCTAAATCTGAAATTTTAATTTTTCCTTTGTGTACAAGTATATTATTATGATGCTATAATTCAATATAACGATAAATAACACATTCGACTCAAATTGAATAATCTTTTTTAAGTTTGAATAGATATTTACCAAGTCGATGAATAATGCCTTCATCATGTACACATTTTACTTAGCTGCCTAGCGAAACAGAGCTTATTATTGCCACTTAATTTTATATAATTGTCTTTGAAATATTCTATCATCAGCATATTTCAAGACTAGCATATATTTTCTCGAATCAGGTTCTGTGAATAGGTTTATTTAGTGAAAAAAAATAAATTCAGACACAATTTTGATGTACTTGCTTTATAAAACAGACTATTATTTTTACTTTTAGTGATTCCGTAAAATTATTAATATTTAGGTTGTGATTAACTTTGATTAAGAATTTTAGCTACAAAAGAATAAATAAGGTGTTAAACTAAAAGTTACATTTAAGAAAAACATGTATATTAAGTAAGTTATTTCTTTAATAAATTGATTATAAGTAATCCTCTTTGCTTTGATCATTTTTATAATGAGACATTTTAAGGCGACAATTCTTCCGTCTTTTTCAATTCTGCTTTATGTGCTTTACCAAACGCGCCCTCGCCAATTTTATATGTATTAACGAACCTTTTAAAGTCAAAAAATTTTATTCGATTTTCTGTTATGGCAGTTTTTAGCCATTTATTTGCTTTAAAAGGGGACGAAGGGAACATTTTTGGTACACGTATCGCCAGTCAGATTGTCTTCTTACTTTTGAATAATGATCATACATGTACATGTGCTATCGTAATACATACACATACAAGTGTATAACATTTTTTTTATACATATAATTATCGGTTTTACTTATTGGTATCGATATTATTTTTTGGTGAGATTTTCTGGGAATATATGTATTGATAAAAAGAAGTATAATACAAGTCATATCTCACGATTACAAGCGTATACGAAAAGGAAAACTAGAAGTAGTGTGTTAATTGAAGCGATTGGAAGTTCACCAGAAGGTCATTGGAAGTAAAATTAAAAGTATATAATTGCCATCACTACATTATCATATATGAATCTATTCAGTTAATTCCATGAATTTATAATTTTGAGTATAACTGGAATAGTCCAGTTATAAAAACTGCTAGAAGTGGTTATATAATTTTTTAGAACTCATTTTTTAAATAAGTGCAATTTTTTGCTATGTGTTTTGCAAAACATAAATAACGTCTCTAAATTTTATAACTCGTATAAAATTTTAATGAACATTTGTTAGAATAGAGAAACAAAGTTCATTGATATATGATAGTTAATTGTTTAATAAATGACAATTCGTAATGAATATGTAAATCAAATTTCGAGACTATTTAACGTTACACAATATTAGATAATAATAATCATTTACATCATTTCAGTTAACAAATTTATATCTTTCAATACTCCATAGATTTCTTGATTTTACCAACAATAATGGAATTGCAGATGAATCCTCAATGACATTTAATGTATGTTGACACTCGCAAATATATTAGTTCCAACAATGAATTAACTTGGGAAGAAAAATTAAGATAACTACTATATACTATTCATGCTCTAGAAGAAAAGAACTTGTGGGTAATGACTTCCACCCAGGAAATATATTATTGCATATTGATGCTTTCCCTGATACTTTTAGTTTTATCAATATAATAAAATCAAGAAATTTACTGAATATTTCCTTATATGAGCCCAGAGATATTATTGATAACCTAAAAATATAATGAAATTAATTAAATATAAATTAGTCATTTACTTATGATTAACATCAAATTGTCTAGCGGAAATAAAAATATAGATAATAAATTCATTTTAAAAAAAAGAGTTACGAATAAAGATAGCTCCTCAACTAATTGCAGCTTGCGGCAGCCAATCAGAGAATTGTGACAGAGTTGCAGCAGCCAATCAGAGAATTGCGACAGAGTTGCAGCTAGTTGCAGCTTCCATCTCTAGTTACGAATGTTAAATTATCTAGCAAAAAATATTGATAATTTAAAAAAAAGTAATGAAATTAAAGTGGATTATAATACTTTGAAAGTTTGCAGTTAAAGAATATTCAATCATATTTGAATACTATCACTATAAATGTCATTGATTCAGCAAAAACTTATATAGGAGAAGGAAATGATATTATTACCAGTAAGCAGAAAATATATCTTCAAATACCACAGAGTAATGAGCTCTTTTGAGTTGCCATTATTTAGATATATTTATATATATTTTCAGTTATTTTAAAGATATTTTATTAAATTGGATTTGTATTGCAGCTTTTTTGATATATGTATTACAAAACTTTATAAATTATTTGAATAGCTTCAATTATTAATATTAAATATCTCACAAATATTTTTGAAATAATTCAGAAAATATGAAAAATAAATTTAAATGGAAGGGAGAGTATGTTAAAATTATTATACATTCAAAGCAAATTACTCTCAATTTATAACAAGATAAAAAAGTGAACATTTTCAAAATGAATATTTTTTCTAATTAGCATAATCTTATAATAACAATACTAATTAATCAGCATTTGTATATATATTATGATAAATCAAAATTCCGTATTTTACAATTGTTTTTTGCAATTATATCTTCTCAACCCGTATCTAACAAGACATATTGATCATATCAGTAATGCACAAAAAAAGATATATATAAATTTGCTAAGAAAAATCCCTTCTATAAACATTATGAAATAGTAAATGGGTTTATGAAATATTATTCAGTTTTAAAGATTGATCATTTAACTTTTTCAAAAGATACTAAAAAAGTTGATCAGTATCAATTCGATAATATACAAGCTGAAACAACTTTCTGGCATCATTTTGCAAAGTATCTAATATTAAAATTTGGTGGATAGAATGGGTCATGACTGGAGGAATGATCATATCAGACTAATTAGTAAAGGAAAAAGATCATTATTTTAATAAGAATTTGATATATTCAAGAAGTCTCTTATATTTTCAAATGGATGTGTTACTAGATTTAAGAGATAAAATGAGTTAGGAAATATCACAATGCATAATGAAATAGCAAGTGTATTCTTAGAAAATTTATTTGCAAAATATATAAAACTGCAAGAACTTCTTTCTCATTATAATTCAGAAGATATTTATAACACTGATAAAATGGATCTATTCTACTGATTACTTTCAAATCAGACACTTTACAAGAAACTGATGTCTGAAAAAAAGAAGTTAAGTTAAAAAATGATTTATTTAATTAACTAATTTAAATTTTTTTGGAATAAAATGAGATTAATTATTCTACTTTGTACTAATTCAACCAGTTCATATAAGCTTCATCCACTTGTTATGGATTTTTCTAAAAAATCACAATTCTTTAATTAGATAAATCTATTACAATTATCTGTAACATATTGAAGTAATCAAAAAGTATGGATGTGAAATAATATTTTGGAATAATAATTGCATTTTATTGATTCTGGATTTCATATTGAAAATAGATAATCCTTGCTTCTTATTGATAATGCAGCTTCTCATACAACTCCAGAAGAAATTCAAGATGACATCTATAATAATATTAACAACAGTGATTACTCCAGTGAAGAAATTGAAACATCTCAAGAAAGTTCTCAAAGATTTCGGAGAAGATCTCAATAAAGATCTAATCTCATCCATTCTGATCGATCAAGACTGATTTTCATCTTACGAATGCTAAGATTATTTTCTTTTATTGAATATGATGGCTCATGTTTAACCCTTGGATACAGGTATTATAAAGAACTTTAAAACAAAATATAAAAATTTATATTTTAGACATTTGTTGGCTCAATTCGAGGAAATGAAAATCTAGAAAGGTAAAGGTAAAATTAGTTTTATTATTATTGTTTGAAAAAAATTAATAATTTAAAAAATATAATGATTTTATAAAAATTAACGATTTAAGAAAAGTTTTAACGATCTAAAAAATATTAATGATTTAAAAAAAATATTAAATTTCTAAAAAAATATTAACGATTTCAAAAAATAAATTAATGATTTAAAATTTTAAAGATATTAGCAATTAAAAAAAGATATTAACAATCTAAAAAAGCTCGATTTAAAAAATGTATTGATTTAAAAATAATTAACAATAAAAAATATCGATGATTTAAAAATTTTAAGAAGTATTAACGATTTAAAAAAAATTAACGATTTAAAAAAATAAAAAACTTTACTCAAAAGAAGCCATCGATTTATTGTAGATGCTTGGTAAGAAATTAATAATATTACCATAAGAAATTGCTGGCGAACAACTGGAATTTACTAGAACTTGAAGTTAATGTCTTGAAGATCAATGATACTACAAATACTCAGTTCAATAATCTGTACAAGATATTGAAAAATATATTCGCATATCGATTAACCGATTATAACTGAAGATGAATTAACAGATAAAGGTATTGTTGAAATGGATAAAACAGAGTTTTAAAATAATAGTGAAACAGATGATGAGCCATCATCACCATCTCTAGTAGCCAAAATCAAAGCTATTGAAATATTAAAAAAGCAATAAGATATCAAGTAGTTTTGAGATAAAAAAAAGATTAGATAAAAAAGAATTAATAATACTATGAAAAAAACCTAAAGAATGGAATTTTGAGAAGAAAAATGCTAAGAAACAAGCTTCACTTATATCTTTTTTAAAAAATAAATCAATTTAAATTACTAATTTATTATAAATTTTAATGCAAATAATTAGTCTTATAATTAATAATTCACAATTAATGATTTGATTGATTAATTTAAAATTTATGTAATAATGTTATTTAACTATACTCATTATTAAAAAAGTGTGATAGTAATTATAAGATAATCATGCTTATAAAAAGAATAATTCATTAATAAAAAAGTTGATTATTAAAAAAAGTGATTATATATGAATTGTAGCTACATAGGAGTTAATTATAAAAAGGCCAAACTATATAAAACTTTTTTAAAAAAAATGAATTGCTATTATGATTAATATTTTATTTACTAATATATATAAACAAATAGATTCAAAACTTGAAATGAAAAGAATTTTACATTTTCAGAACTATAGTTCTTTAGAATATCCTAGAAAATATGAAGAAATTAGAGTGTATTAGAATTGAAATGCAGCAATTTGATGAAGAGATGAAAATGTAAAAAAGTATTTCTATGAAAGCAAAAAAACATGTACACTCAAATACAATTTAAATGTACATTAATCAATTTTACTTCAAAATTAATAGCAATCTCAACTGATATAAGTACGTACATTTATATTATATTCAATGACATTTTCGATAGATTTAAATATAACAAATATTTAGGTTCTACAAGCTTTTGTTCTATATCTCCGAATGAAGGTAAAATCGCTATTTTTTCGAAGAATTCGAATATTCAAAATACTTGTCTTGCATGTGTGACTACTGAATGCGATAAAGTTGTTAAAATGAAGATGAAAATTTATTATTTGTTTGCTTTATTTTATTCATAAGAGTTTTTTGATATGATATTGAGAATGATGCCGCCGAAAATTTATATTTAGCTTAAAAAATAACCATACCACGTAAGAATAACAGTTTTAATATCGCGTTATTAATAAGAAACTAGATTATAAGCCGAACATAGTGACCCTAACCGGTTAAGAATTCTTAACTGTAACCAGGTAATTTTTTGACGGTTAACCGGTTATATTCTATATATAATAATTTTTAATTTTTAATAAAAAACTTATGAAAGTAGTGTAAATCTATTAGAAATTGTTGTTATCTTTATGGGTCAAAAGTGAATATTATTTTTATAACAATATCAAAATAATAAATATATGCGCATAAATAACAAAGAAAAAAAAATAATTTTTGGTTTATGTTAAGATCAGTTATCTGTAGTTTATCTTGCAAGTCATCCTCATAGTTTGGATGTCCTAAATAACTGTAGAACTGAAAATGCAATGTATTCGTTTCCGCCAACTATAGTTGATTATAGTCATCTTCGTAAATAGATCTGATAAGTCAAAAGTTCCTTAGCAGTTGGTCTGTTTTCTGCAATAGGACACCAACATTTTAAATAATAAATTTGCATCATCCGGAACATTATTTCATCACTAGATAATAATATGATGAAAGTCACGATGCACAAATTCGTCTTTGTGAATTTTTTTCGGATCAAAGATAAATTGTGTAAATAATTTAATTTTTGATTCAAAACAAAAAACAAAACTTTTTACTTTAGAAAATGTTCATTTTTACCTCATCCATATAAATTTTGAGTAATTTTACTTTGAATTTTATAATGATTTTTATTTCTCCATATTGTTTAGATTTATTTCTTCATCCTTTTTATAAAATTTATTGCATTCTTTTATTAGATTGTCTATATCTCTGCTAATACAATTCATTCGTTTGTGATATTTTTATATGATCAACGCACTGATGTGTCAATACAATAACGATAAGTAAAACCGGACAAAAGTTTGGAATCGGGAAATGATCAGCAATGTAGGTCACGAATATTGATATGACTTTTAATTAATATTTCTCAACTTCTCTTTAAATAAATTACGAAAAAAAATATATCATTTTATTCAGCAAAAGAACCCGATCTTTTCGTTCTAGACACCTTTTTAATTGTTTACGACGATTTTCCTCAGATATGAAAGGTTTTCTTAGACCAGCCCGACCAAAAAACCCACTTTCGTGAAGGTTACGACGTATGGTTTTAGAACTAACCAAAATTTCCAAACCAGTATTGAATTTTTCAGTAATTTCATCAATTGATTGTTGCCGGTTATCTTTCACAATGTTGATTATTCTTCGGGTATCTCTATCATTTAATATTGGTGGTCTACTGC